AAAAAAGGCTGAAGTTTTCTTGTAATTTGTTTAGATATTTTCTGTCCAGTAAATATATGCTCCTTTTGTAAGAAGTGCTGCTCTTTAAGTACTGAACATTAAGAATCATATGCAACACATCACTAGCAATCCCACAGTGTAAGTCAATATATATATGCATTCACATTTCAAATGTTATAAGGAAAAGTTTAATTAATGCTTCAGCTACATTTTATATTCTATTTTGTTTTAGTCATAATTGAGAAGAATAGCAAATTTAAATCTATGTACAAAGATAAGACTGAAAACATTCATATTTCACAGTAACCAATACACTCTGGTATTTTACCAATGGTGCACCTGAAAAGCAAAACCTACCTGTTTCTTCAGCTGTCAGATCTTTGCCACTGTGGTGGCCAAAATAAATCTGAAATTTTCCCAGATGTGAACTATTTATTTTTTTTAATCCTGTAGTTTAGGTGAAAACACTTCTCACTATGGTGAAAAGTAAAAATATTGGTTATGTATCATATACGTGTCTTTCAACACTGTACTTTTAGCTACCTGTAGCAAATTTTAAAAAAGTGCTGAGGGCACCATTATAGCCGAGATGACTGTGTCAATTAAAAAGCAGAATGTTATCCTGGATAGTTTTAAACTTAGGCATCTAGTTCAAAACAGACAGAAGGCAAAAAAATCTCAAATATGTCTGAAATAATGGCCAAGAACTCTCATTATTCCTATTTTCCAGATATGATAATACTGTAGACCTTTAAACTTGAAGGTGCATTAGCTGGACTTCCACTGGCAGGTATTATATTTAGCAGTGGTCAGTTCAGTGCCCCACAGATCTGGGCAGCATTTACAGTAATACACACTCACTGCTACTCCCACTTTGCAGTGTGGGGCACAGGCTGGCTACCAAAAGGGACAGGCCAGAAGCCATTTGAAATTCCTCCCCATGTGAGCACAGAGCTACACAGCTAAGGTAGTAATTTTGTGACTGCAGAAATGGAAAAGTGTCATATCCTAGCACACTTGAAGCCATGGGGCTAGAAATACTGGGAAAACACTGTGCATGATGTGTTTAAAGAAATAAGTTGGCTTCTTTTATTGACCTAGGAAGAGCATCAGTTACTGACAATCCATCTGTAAAATGCACTAAAACAATGAAAGTATTTATAAATTATAAGCTGTGGGAATATTATGAGCTCAGAGGCAAAACATACTTCAAAATACAGGATTCAAATATGGCCTGTAAATTTAGAAGTGAGGGGGGGGCAACACTATTTAAGTGCTATTATGAAGAAGATAAAGTGGATAAATTTTATGTTTACAATGCAGGACCTCAATTTAGTTTTCTCTCTGTAACTGCTAGCATTTTTTTCTTTTCTATGCCTTGTCAGATTGCTTTTCTTTTCCTCCTTCTAACCATTTTCTGCCTTTCTCAACAATGCTGTCATAAAACTGACATACCTGAGACTTCACTTTGGAAGTCTCCTATTGGACAGCAAGAAATGAAACCGATCTAAACTTTGTTTTTAATGCATAGAGATTTCTCAAGAGCACAGAGGAAGCACCACCCTCTCTAGACAGACACACCTTTTCTTGTTGCTAGAATGCTATCTTTTCTAGAAAAAAGTCTGCCTAGCACTTAGAGGAACTGCATGTACAGCCACTGCAAACCCATGGAAATTAGCTACTGAAAAGTACAATCTCATAGGCAATCATTCTATGATAATCTTGAACACAGCTGTAATATACTCTACTATATATTGATTTACATCTTTTCTGTGCATAACTCTCTGGCAGGTAGGTAAGATGAACCCAAATACAGAGATACCCCTGCCCTCCCTAACTACTGAGAGTTACACAAAATGCTTAGTATTTTATCAAGCAGAACTTATTCCTCTCCATCCTATCCATGTAACAGTGGATAGGTATATCCCTGTAACAGTGACTTAAGGCATATGAAATACCCACCTTATCAAGAAAGCTGACAGGTACAAGATTTAGGTTGAAAGTAGAAAAATACTTTTTTGTTTTACTTAGAGCATTGTCTTTTCTCCCCAGCTTAACGATTGCATAATTAATACACAGCCACAGGAACAATGACAATGTAGCTCTTCCTACTCTTGTGTAAGTGGATGAATCACAAAGGTAACTCTTCTGGCTCCTTTATTCCAGACTGAGGGAGAGTCAGTTCTACTAGGAGTGATACTGTGGGTTACTACACCTTTCTTCACAGTAGTTGTACAGCTCCAAGTAACTTAAGAGATACGAATCTGAATCTTTCCAGACTAAGGTGTGCTTAAAACCTTCATCTTTCAGTTCTTCAGCAATCACAACATGGGCATACTGGATTACGGTAGCTATAGTCTCATACACCATGAATAGTTCTATACTGAATCACACATACAACATAGTTTTTCCAAGTGACTGTAATGGGTGAGTGAAGAATTGCTTCTTTCCCTGAAGCAGCGTTGTATAGCATATTGGTACCTTCCAGTTATAGAGAGCAGCACAGAAGGCTGATGACATCCAACAGCCTATGCCTATGATTTAGTCAGAGACACTGGAAAGTAACAGCCAACACTTTTGAAAGAGCATACTTCCCAGTAGTCATTAGCCTTTGCCTCTATTTCCAAAGGTGTTATCAGCTATGAACATTATAGCAGTAATTGAATTTGTTTTTTATGATCATTGTGGGCCTTTACTGTAATACACAGAGGCTGCTGCTGGCATTATCATAATTCTTCTAACTTTGAGATAAGATTAATGCAATAAAACTTCACCTTAAAAGAGAAACTACTGGAGAGTACTACAGGTTACATGATACAAGAAGGGCTACCTACATGAAAACAGCTGAAGATAAGGATTCCTGCTTGTGTCTAGACAGAAGTTAGGACATTGGGCAGTTACCCAAAGAACCCGACCATACCACAGGACCTGGTTATCTTGAAACAGACTAAGCAACCTCTATCTCCCTGCCCCCTCCCCTTCCCCGATATCACCACCACACAACCTCTCCCCCATATCCACAGAACCTGCTCACCCAGCCCTGTACCATGTCTTCCCCCCAGCCTTCTTCCCCCACGGGAGAGCTGTAAAATTAAGAGAGTGCAGAAGTATTTCTACTGCCTTAATAGCTGTAGTCATGCCAGTCTTGATGGGAGCTATGCTTTCTCACAGCTCTTTAACCTGAATTAATTCAACTTTATTCTCCCAGGAACTCTTAAAACACCTCTTCTTGTGGGAGTGTGGGAAGGTAAAGGGAGAGAGCAGAACATTAGGTATGCTGAGAGGGGCTTTCAGATAGCTTTTTTGGTTTTTACTGTATCCTTGCTAAAGAAAGGTATCATGCTGATTTGCCTATTTGAAACCAATCAGGAGCTTTTTGCATTTTATGAAAACGTTCTGCTTTTCCAAGGGTTTTTTTTCTAAAGACTTAAATCCAGAGTTTTGAAGTATTTATGGGAAGAATCAAGGATGAGAACTTTTCCCGTCATTTATGCCTAATTAAACGGGCAGCTTCATCACATAGCTTTGCCTCAATTTCTGTACTGTTCTGAGAAAATAATTCAGATTAACAACCGAGCAAACTAGATCTTGGATTTTGCATTGCACTGGAATCAGTGATTCTGCAAGTGCTGGTGTGCACCATCTCAGTCTCCACTTAAATAAGCACAAAATACCTTAGGACAAACTATATTGTTGCTATCAGTAGGTTACTGGTGTTACTGCACAGCAACTTGTGCTGGTATTTTTTACCTTGTATTGTCTGCTTATATTCGAGCACTGGAAACTCTTTATGTGCAGGAAGCAATAATGACGTGGTATGGGAACAGCTGCACCAAATCTGCTGCAAAAGTCTCCATATGCTATTTTTACTGTAAGAATCATCAGTCCAGAACAATTATTCTAACATCATCAACGTTCATCTAATTTTAAGAGGAAAGCTTGCTGTTCGGCAGATGCCCTTAATCAAATGGAAGGATTCGACAGCACGGTTTCCCAGGGTTAAAAAGAGCTTTCACTCACCAGTTAAAAATTGGCAAGCAAAGGGCTACAAAAACGCATCATTGTCCAGACTGGCCTACAAGAAGCAAAACGATGGCAATTTTGTTAAGCATGTAAAGTGGTATTTTAGCTTGTCACACTCTTAAAACAAGGTTGGAATAGAGCAAACATAATCAAGCTACTAAAGAGAAACCGCATTGTTTTATCATCCATAACCATACTGCGGTGTGCTGTGGGCATGCTATTGATGAACTAAGAATCTATATTTAAAATAATGGTTTGCAACACTGCTATTCTTCGACAACAAAGGTAATATTTTCTTACTGAATATACAATTTTTTAAGGATGAAAGCAGTAAGACTGACTTACCTTACATAAGCCATTGATTTCTAAGGTAAACAAAACCCTGAAATGAAATAAAAACTCCAATGTGCAAATAATGAGTTATATCTACCTGTTTAAAGGGGGTATATACAATGAACGCTGGACATAATGCAATAATTCAAGGCATTCTTACTGTTATGAGAATGATGCGTTCTCTACATTTTTGTCAATGCACATCTTTCAGGAAAAGCAGAGTTAACAATGCCTGACAATACTCAATGACACTGTACACCTGTCAAGATGACGTGTCAATGTTTCTATTTAGTTTAGGAAGAAGCATTGTTCATTACCATTAACCTAGTATTGAAAATATCTTCAAATACTACGCAGTATGTATTGAAATGCATTTGAATTTCTTACGGAACTTCAAACAACCGCTAGACTTTATACCTAGTCCTATGAAATATGACTGTTTTCAGCGAGCTACGTGAAGAACACAGCGATTTTTATCCAGATCTGTAACACAAGCTCTCCCAAGCTACCGCGAACTGCCTCAAAGCCTCCTGCCAGCCTCTTGAGTGCTGAACACCAAGTAAGAGCACCGAGTAGCTGCGTGGGGACGGAGCAATACGTACAAGCAACCGCGTCGCGCTGCTTTGCCTCTGCGGCTGCAGTGGATGGAGCACGGTAATTTTGGTTCTGGCTGCCGGACACCGCTGCTCCCGTCACGTCTCCCATCCAAACCCGTCAAACAAGCCACGGCTGATGTCAAAACGCGGCGCTGCCCTACAAGCAACAAGGGCGACGCGCAGCCCTGCCGGGGAGGCTGGGACGGAAAGGAGCTCAGCGGGCCGGGATCCGGCCGGGACAGGCGCTGCACAGCCGGGGGAAAGGGCCGGCCGTGCCCGCCCGGGGCAGCGCCGGCGCCCGCGGACCTCGACCCTCTCCGCGCCCCGCGGGGGCCGCCCGCGGCCACCCAACGCTCTCGGGGCCCCGCAGCCGGGGGGAGCGGCTCCCGGCAGCCCCGCTTTTCCCTCCTCGCCCCCCCGCGGAGCCGGGCAGCGGCCGGCTACAGAGGGCACTCCGGCGGCTCCTCCGCGCTCCCCGCCCGGCCCCGGGACCGACCGGGATCGCTCCTCGCGCCGTCCGCGCCGCCCACCGCGCGCGCGCGCAGGCGCGGCCGCAGCCCCCGCGCACACCTGCCCTGCCCCCCCTCCCCCCCACCGCCGCCACGCGACACCGGGGCCGCGCGGAGCGGCGGGAGCGCGCGCGCCCCGGCGGGGCTGTCCCCGCCCCCGGGGGGAGCGCACGTGACGCGTCCCCGCCCCGGAGGTGCCGCGACGCGACTTTGTTTGGGAGAGTTCCGTGCGCGCGCGCGTGTTTCCGCGCGGCGGGGCCGGGCGGGAGCCGCACGGGAAGCCGGCTGTCCCCCCGCCGCCGCCCCGGGCCCCCGGAGCGGAAGGGAGGGAAGGAGGGAGGGAGGGACAGCTGTGGCTCCGCCAAGCGGCGCTCCTGCCGCCGCCGCCGCCGGGCAGCGGCCGCCCCGCCCCTGGTCCTGCCCCCGGCGTGTCCCACCCCCGCGGGCCCTGCCCCCTCCCCTCCTGCCGCCGCCGCCGCCGCTGCCAGCGCAGCCTGAACTGAAGCGAACTCCGGAGCGAACTGAGGAGAAGTGAGGAGGCGGCGGCGGGGCTGAGACTCAGCAGCCACAGGCGGCGGCAGCAGCAGCGGCGGCGGGAGGGCGGGAGGGAGGCGGAGAGGAGGAGAGGAGGAGGAGGAGGACACACGCTAGGCGCAGCGCGGCGGCAACAACAGCAGCGGCGGCGGCAACAGCGGGGAGACACCGGCGGCGGCTCTTCGGAAGCGGCAGCCGCGCCAGCAGCGCCCGCCCGCCCCGCGCGTCCCTCCCTCCCTCCCCCGCCGCGGAGACAGGGGGCAGCGCCGAGAGGAGAACCGGGCTCAGCGTGTGTGTGCGCGGGAGGAGGAGGAGGGGGGACACACCGAGGACTGCGCCGGCCGAGGGCGCACGGAGCAGGGAAGCGGCGGCGGCACCGAGAGGCGGCGGCGGGTCCTTGTGCCCGGAGAGGAGGGCGCAGCCCGCACGGGGGTTTCTACCGAGTTTCCTCTTTTTTTTTTTCTTTTTCTTTTTTTTTTTTTTTTTTTTTTTTTTCCCTGGGACTCAGCGGCGGGTCTGCGTTTGTCTCCGGATTTGAATCCTCCTCCTTCTCCTCCTTCCTCGGGGAAGCTCCCCTCCCCGCCCCCTCCCCTCCCCCACCGCCTCCCTGCCCGCCCGGATCCAGCCGGGCGCCCCGTGCCGCGGTCGCGTTGCTCGGCAGAGCTGCTGCGGGCGCTCGCCGTCTCTGCGCGGGCTTGGAATATGGTTGGGGAAATGGAAACCAAGGAGAAGCCGAAGCCGAGCCCCGATTACCTGATGCAGCTGATGAACGACAAGAAGCTGATGAGCAGCCTCCCCAACTTCTGCGGGATCTTCAACCACCTCGAGAGGCTGCTGGACGAAGGTAAAAGCGCTCGCCCGGCCGCCCCCTCCCCCGCCCCGTCGCCCTGCCCTGCCTTCCCCGGCCCGGGGATCCCGCTCGGCCCCTCGCCCCGGCCCGGCCGGGCGGTGGGGGCGGCCCGGGGCCTGTTCCGCTCTCCCCGCTGCTCCCCGCACGCTCCCGGCCCCGACTGGGGAGCCGAAAACAAAGGGGAAGTGCGGGCTCTCCCCGCCCTGGCCGCCGTCGCGCGGTGCCGGGGGACTCGGGGAGCGAGTGGGAGGGGAGAGGCAGCCCCGGCCGCGCGGGTCCCCGATCCCCCCGGAGGGTTTTCCCCCTTATTTTTCCTTTTTCTTTTCACCCTTTTCCGCACTATCTCCTTAAACCGGGGGAAGGGTAACTACAGCACGGAGGGGAGGGAGCGAGGAGAGGAGCTCAGGAATGCGCTCTGGGGGAAGGCAGGGAGGAGGGGAAAGGCTGGCTGGCGGCTGGCGCTCCCCTCCCTCCATCCCTCCCTCCCGCGGCGGCGGGGGACACGGGGGTCCTGCCGGCGCCCTCGGAGCGCTCCGCCGCCCGGCCCCAGGGCCGCCGCCGGGGGGGCGGGGGGTGTTTGGTTTCGAGATTTGGCTGTTCTGGAAGCTGCTTGGACTTGAATGACTAAGGCGGAGGGGGGCTGAGCTCTTTCTTCAGCTCCAGATCTACCCCACCCCGAACTGGCCACAAACTAATTACGATTTTCCTATATCACAAGGGAAGCGAGCAAATTCTTCTCTCAGCTATCCTTACCTTTTAAAGAAACTGAACTTGAAGGACTCCAACGTGTGACTTTAGTGAAGGGGGAGAAACAAAAAGGATTACGAAATTGCCTGGTCTGCTCCTGCCAAACGTCCATCCCAGCCCCGCACCGCCGCTCCTGGCACGGGGCGAGGCACCCCCATACCCCCAATTTTCCCCCTAATAACTTTTTGTGAAATCTTAAACCTTAAACATAAATAGTCATGTTTCAGCGATTAAAAGGAAAAGTGCGAGCTGGGAACTTCCTGTGTCCCATACGTTTTCCCACTACAGTAACAGACCTACTGTGTATCAAAAATTAGGTGTTCTTAGTATTTAAAATTCGCCTTGTACTCGGGTTCACAGGTTTGTTTTTCTTGTCAAAGGCATTTCCTTTCCTATGACTTTAAACCTAGGCTTTCTGGAGAGTTAGACCTGTTTGTTTAATCGTATCTGATAGCTTTGTAGAATATGAAATGAGCATAAATTATTTATACAGCTTCAACTTGTTGGGATTCTCTAGTATGAAGTACTGATTTTCGAGATTTTGAGTTAGGGTTCTTGTTTGCGGATGTATTCCTCCTCGCTAAAAGAAGTTTGGGAAGTTGTTGACCTCGGAAGATGAAAGAACTGGTTATATTTGGTAGAACAATTCCCCGCCCTCTGCCAAGACTGTAAAAATGAGATAGCGACTGTAGTACGGCACAAAAATAGCGTGTCGAGAAAATGCTACCTTCTGAAATAAATGATAGAGGAGTTTAAAAAAACCCAAACAAACGGTGAAGAACACTGAAATATGGATTGTGGGAAGCATTATAATGGGAGAGTCTATTTTTATTTTCAAGACGCTTGGAGTAGTTTGAATTTATATTGGATCAAATGTGGACGTGAAAAGCAAAACTATTTAGAACTTATATTCTTGATCACCACACTGAACAACCTCTTCAGAACAGTTAGATATACAATAGACACGTAGAAGAAACTTGACCGAGAAGACTCCTTCATAGCACAAATGAGCCTTCCAGAGGCTTGATAATGGATTTTTAAATTCCTGAATCTCTTCAACTTTATGTATTTGGCCAGAGGAGGCCTTAAGCTGGTTTTTTATTTTCAGAGAACAAAAGGAAGAAAAACATTTCCCGATTTGAAAAGGACACTGAAGAAGGAATTCCCGAAATACTTATATTTTGTCATATATTTTGAAATACTGAAAACTCTGGAATTCTGTTTGCGAAGTATTGGAGTTTCAAAACGAGGGCTCTCGAAACTCTTGCTGACAAAGTTTAAGGACTGTGTTGGAACTATTCTTCACTCCCTTCTTCAAAAGAAAAGCAAATAAAATACAGTCTCTATTCATAAATGATCTCTGGAAGAAGCCTGCTATGCCTTTAAGCTTTTCTGCTTTTCCTGTTTACGTTGGCAGTTGGGTGGAAGTATTGTGGAGGCAGAAAACTTTTTGGAATGTTGAAAAAAAAGTTTCATGCAAATCTAGTAAATTGCTTCAAGACTTCAGGATTTGAACACTAAGGGGCGCCAGTTATTTTTTTTTCTGAGGCATGAGTCCGCCAGCACCACTATTGACTCGGGCAGTAAAATTATCAAATCTGGTAGAAGACGCCAAAGAATGACAAAATACTTGTGGATTTGTGCAGGTATCTGTATTTGCATGGACCTCCTCGTATTGTATGCTTACAGGCTGTATTACATAGGTGGAACAACAGTAGCAGTGAACAGTGGAGAAGTTGGAACAACTGCTTCCCTGTAAAACACCTATCCTGGTTACCAGTGGGACTGTGTTAAATATCTTGAACTGTATGCTCCACTGACATCCTCCAGCAGAAGAGTTTAGTAATAGCTAACTACAGGTTTGCTGGAAAAGTCTGCAGGATTTAATGTTCTTACTGAAAAGTGTATTGTTTCATAGTTTCATCAGTTTTTTCCTGGCACTCGTGAGAATACCAAGTATTTGGGGCAAGTGCGTATATATATATAGGTATATATAATCTAAAAATAAAGTTACAGGGTTCACATTCCCTCTTTGCCCCCTCCACCCAGTAATTTGATTTGCTTCTTCTAGTTTGTTGTTGTGTGCTTTAGGTAGGGTTTTTTGTTTTTTTTTTTTTTTTTAGTTATAATACAACCGTTTTCCTGAAGGTTTTGTTTATGCTTCTTATTCTTTAGAAGAATAATATTATGATCAGCCATTGTCTTTTATTTTGTGTGCTGATCAAAATGAAGAAATAAAGTCACAACCCTAAGAAGTCAAACAAATAAAAGGTGGGATTACTTTCCTTACTGGAATGCTAGGGTAGTTTTTTTTATTATTATTCATTTATTGTTACATGCCAGTATTTAAAAACAGGACTCAAATGGGCTTCAGCTGTGATTACTTCTTGTAACTGTATGCAGAAAGAGACCTGTGGATTTAGGTGAACAGTACATCTAATCCGGTTAGGTTACAGAATGTGCATCTGCTTTTTTGGGGGGCTATTTCTATGCTGTGTGTGTTATCCAAAGCCTGTATTCCTTTCTGAACTCTATCCTACTTTTTGATCTTGCAATATTTTAGTGCTTAACTTAGTAGATGGTCTCTGTCTTGCAGCATTTTGTTTTTGAAGATTAGCTTAAATGTAAGAAGTGTATTGAGGAAACATTTTTTTTTTTTAAAGAAGTACTTTCATAAAATGTGAAAGTTACAGTTTTGTTTAGGTTACAGTTATTTTTCCATATGTGTGCTTTTAACTTGTTATGTGTAAATAAGGCTTCTGTGGATTAACAAGGATGTTTAAAGAGCACATCATAATAACTAGGAAGCTGAATTGTTTTTATCAGACTGGTGCAAACCTGTGGGAAGAGAGGCTTTTCCTGAATGTGGAATAGGCTGTATTTCCTGTAATTGTTTGCACCATCAAATGTGACCTGATTTTTTTAAATTTTTTTTTCTCCAGCTTTTGAGATAGTAACTTTTATGATGTTAACCTAGATTTTTTTTTCTGACAGTTATATATTTTAATGCTCCCCTTTGTGGACAGTGAATAGAGTTGTACTTGTTTTCTTGCACTGTTTTTAAAAACTGAATTGGACATTTCAAACTCCTCAGTAGCATGCTGACAGATTGAAATTAATGAGGTATTTCAGTTGTATTCTTTCAGCAGACTATGAAGAAATGTGAGTAGTCTAATTTTTAAATTTACATTTTGTTTTCTTGAACCTGTAAGTGCATACTCTTGCACTTGATTGGAATGTACACAGATTACACCTGTGGTCTGAACTGTTTTCAAAAAGAGGTTGAAGCGGACTTTATCAAGAGTTCATTTTTCCTCTGTAACCTATACCTCAAAAGCTTACATCTTCCCCTTCAAAACTGTGTTGAAGGTGAATGAAAAGCCTGTCTACTTTTAAATGTAAAT